TGTTATTCAAAAACCCTTCTCATCTCATGAATCCCCATCCTAATTAGCCATAAGCGTCAGCTTTGAATAATTGATCAAGTATATTCTTGTTTGTATTGCAGAGTATTTTATGCCTCTGAGTCAAACAGCTAATACTGCAATGAGTATCGCTCTATTTGTAATTCACATACTAGTTATATAGATTGTCAGCCTTAATTATAAAGTTCTAATCCCACAACTACATGAAAGAATTGATGTCGTCATTCAAATTATTTACCTTGCAAAAAGTTAGCTGCATTTTGTTCACAAAGATTAGTTATAATGTCTGAAAGGCAAACATTCATATGCGCCAAATTATTTACCTGGCTGCAGTGGTTTGAACTTAAAGTCCGAAATGAAGGCTTGAACGGCGGCGGTGGCGGCAATCGTTGAGGAGCGACAGTGATGGAGGACCAACGGCTAAGAAGAGTAGAACCAAATAGGAGATGAGCTGGGTGCTGAGGCTTGAAATTGAAGTCCAAAATTAGCGCCAAAGGAACGGCGGCAGTAGGAATGATGTTTTTTGAGAACACTGATCCGCACAGTTCACAGAGAGTTTTCTGAATAGGGTACGGTCCAACAAAAATCCCTCTCCAGCGAACAAAACCTGGCTCCTTACTGGTATGTTTTTGCTAGGCCCTCATTTAGCCTGCTAACAACGGACTCAAATCCAGTGACGCTGCCTATCTGCATTTTGAGCTTCTTAGATATACGTTTCAACAATATCCAGCAAAAATGGGTTAGTTCACTGCTGATTGAAATCCAATATACCCCACTGAGAAATTTAAAAATTTATATGAAAAATTTTATTAATTAAGAGAAAAGAAAAGAAACTTTGCCTTTAGGTAATTGTTTACTCATAACAGTAGTAAAATTTTGCAAACTTCCCAAAATATGTGGCTTTGCTACCATTTCAAAATTGTCGAAAGATCTAAATTTAAGTGAAATTGCATCGGTGCCCTCTAATAGGTTGTTTGAGTAGGCCCATGGCCAAGAACATGTCATCCCACTATCAACTCATTTGATGACTTGGTTGTGACCGCGTAGATTGGACCATTTGGCCCTAAAAATTCAAATTTGTGTTTTCTTGATATATGGGCTGAGTTGCATTTGGGTTTAAGATATAGACCCAATTATTAAATGGGCTAGCTTAGGCATTACTAATCTCAGTCTAATATCATCTAGACCCTTATCTTGACATATTGAGTTTAAAAATATAGATATTATTTATAAAATATACTAATTGTTATGCCATATATTCTCACTCATTGAAAATTAATATTTTAACATTTTTTGTAATCCTAATAAAGGTTAATCTTGTATTAATCATGTTAATATTTTATTATTTAATTAAAACTTATGTTTTTAACGATACATAACATTTAAAGAATGGATGATTTAATGTGGCCCAACTCGTTTGTAAGCCTAAAACTCAATAAATGAAATTGGTTAGCTTGGCTTTACTATTTCAAATTCCTATGGGCCAGGCCCAAACTTAATTGTGATTTTTTTTAACTTGAGCTTAAACATTTCATAATTCTACCGTCAAGCCTAATTGTAAGGCCACCGATTTGATTACATGTCATGAGACTAGGGGTGAGCAAATTCGGTTCATACCGAATTCATGACCGAATTCAAATTCAATTCGATAATTTGAAATCGGGTATTTGGTAATTTGTTACAAATTCGGTACATATCGAATTCACCGAATTCTAATATGATATGAAATAGGTAATGAGATTATGAATTTGGTAATAACTGATTTCGCATTCAAATTCGGTAATTGAAATAAGGTACCGCATTACCGCATTCGAATACCAAATTGGTATATAAAATTATATAATATATAGATAAATGTTATTTAGTATTAGTATATACTACTAATATATTATTATATTATATAGGTAAATGCTATTAATAATAATTAGTATATGGTATTATCATCATATCATGTACTTATAATAATAATAATAATATATAATAATGTACAATATATTATTTTAGTATTTGTTAATTGTTATATGACTATAATAATACAAATATATAGTAATACATAACAATATAAGATAACTACTTATTATTTTATACATGAGTAACATGACTAGAATTGGATAATAATTAATACATATATGTATAATACTAAATATTAAACAATAAACATAATTAGTAATTAGAATTTAGATATTGGTAATTTGATACATCATTGATCATTCATGTTTGAATTATTGAATATTTGAATGCGTAATCTGTAACTTGCAAGTATTAGTGTGCTCTAAATTTATATTACATATTTAACATAAAAATTCATATTATCTATTCACTAATCTTAAGGTTTTAAGTATAGATAAGACAACTAAATAGTGTAAGTGAATGCATGTGAATTGCAAATCAATGTATTAGTGTATTGACTTTCACAATAACATATGTAAGTAAATAAGTTTTATTTTGATTTGAAATAAATTATAAGTTTGTAACTAATATAACTTATCACTAATCATTGTAATTTGTAAGTTTGCAACTAATATTACTTATTATTAATCATTGAAAATTATAAATTCATAAATTATCACTAATTATTGTACAGTCTAAGGTTTATTCTAGTTTAAATTAATCACTTTTTATGTGTTCCTTAAATCATAGACTAAGGATTCTAGGTATAAGTGATCAAATAAATATCAATTAAATTAAACCACAAAATGATTAGAGCATAAGTAATGTGTTAAATTATGAATAAATTTGGGGATCAAATAAGTAATAATTTTTAAAAAATCAGTTTTTTTTTAATAGATGAATTCGGTTAGACCAAATTCATTGCCGTTTTCGAATTTGAAATCGGTTGCAGAATGAATTCGGTTATGGCCAATTCGAAATTGAAAATGGTTTAGATTTCTATAGGTCGAATAACCGAATTCACCGAATTCATTGTACCGAATTACTGCTTTTGCACCGAATGCACACCCCTACATGAGACATCGGCCGTTAGGCCTAAGTCTATCAACTTGGATAGGTAACTCTAGGCTCAATCAACCTAAAAATTTTGAGATCAAGCATTCTGCGATGTTGGACCCAATAATGTTTGGGCCTAGGTATAAGGCCCAATATTATCATGAGACAACTTTGTATTTTATTAGACTCAACCCAACCCAAATAATTGTGTGCCTGAACAACATAACATCCAATGCCAAAAGGGTTCATCATTGTCACATGACTTGTGCATGCCTCCTTATACAGCCAGATCACGTGGGTGCTCTATCATTTTTCTTATGCGGGTGAATGGGCCGCTTGATTGGTTCGTCTTGAGCAGGATGAGACATGCTCATGTAGCCTCTTTCTCTTTTAGCTCTTTCTGCTGCTGCGTCTAAATCTACGAGGAGCGTCTTCCTAAAATGATTTTTTTTTTGTCAAATATCAACTTCAATATATAGGTAAAGGGTTACAAATTAGTCTGCACAACAGATTTACAAAAGACTGGCAACTGCCAGGAAATCATTGTGGGCTTCTTTGTTAAGCCACACAGGGAAGGATTGCTTCCACCTAGTTTCTTGTACCAAGTTAACTGCTAACTTAGCTAACCTGTGACTACACAGGTTCATTTCTCTCCTAATGTGAAAAAAGGAACATTTCCAGAATGAGCGACTCAGTTGCCTTATATCTTCAATTAGCATGTCCAGAGAGTTTAGACCTTGACATCCTATATTGATTCTGTCCACAACAGCTTTGCAGTCAGAGAGAATCAACAAGGATGACATGTTTTCCTCTATGGCTTTGCTTAAGGCTGTTCTAATAGCAATAGCCTCCAATTCTGCCGCATCTCTGGCTCCTGAATACGGAATGGACCAAGTTGCCAGGATCCTGCCATTGTTATCTTTAGCTATGATCCCCACTCCTGCTTTTTTCTTGGTCTGATTCATTCCAGCATCCGTGTACATAATGGAGCTATGCTGTTCCACCAGACCAGTTAACATGCCCTGCCTGTCATCTGTTTGGGACCTAACTTCCTTGTCCCTCTCAGCATTGCTACCTTCTTCCTCATATTCTAACCATTCATTCAGTGCTTTTTTGGCTATCTGGTGCCCCTCTGTCCTTGCCTGGTGAAAGTTTCCCTCATTCCTTGCCTTCCAGATTTGCCAGAGAAAGTTTGCTGTGAGTTCAATGTGTTTAGTTCCATCTTCCCTTGATCTGGCCTCCTGCATATATTCCCACCATTTCCAAAAGTTCCAACTATAGTCTTTAATACCATCCCATGAAACAGGGAATGTTGCCCAAGCCATCTCTCTAGCTTTGCAGAGAAGTAATGCATGTTCAGTAGTTTCTTGTTCTTCCCCACAACATTTGCAAAGTGGATCACCCTTGCCCGTCCTTCTAAAAATTTCCTCATTAGTTGGAAGGATGCAATGGAGGCATTTCCACAAAAAGTGCTTAATTTTGTGTTTGATGTTCAGTCCCCAAAGCTGGTTCCAGACCTTGGATCTTTCTTTGTTTATGCTGGAGTTATCTTGTGCCTTATTCTTCTCACTGATCTCTTTGATTCGCTCTTTGGCCCTAGCGTAACCAGATTTAGTAGAATAACAGCCATTTGCTGTATATTTCCATATGAACCTGTCCTTCATTTGGAATACACTGAGTGGAATTGACATGATTGCCTCTGCCTCCTCCTTTACGAACAGTCCTTGAATGATGTCCTTGTTCCATTGCCTCCCTTTAATCAAATTACAAACTTTGGTCAGTTGGTAACCATTCGGTTTAGGAGAGGAGACTCTTCCACTTTTTGAACCCTCTACCCATCTATCATTCCAGATCTCCACCGTGGATCCATCCCCAACTTGCTTCCACATCCCACTATCCAGCATCTCTAATGAACTATGCAAACTTTGCCAAATCCAAGATGCCCTAGCCTTTACCTTGGATTCAAAGATATTAGAGTTAGGGAAGTACCTACTTTTCATAACTTTACTAACCAACAAGTTGGGACAAGTGAGAATTCACCAAACTTGTTTGGCTAGCAAAGCTTCATTGAAGCATAGTAAGTCCCTAAACCCAAGTCCACCATTCACTTTCCTCTCAGCTAAGTCAGTCCACTTCTTCCAATGCATTCTTTTATCCCCTTGATCATTTTCCCACCAAAATCTGGCCATTAACCCACTTAGCTCTTTGCACAAGCTTTTGGATAATCTGAAAACAGACATGGCATATGATGGGAGAGCAGTAGCCACTGATTTTAGCAAAACCTCTTTCCCAGCATTACTCAAAAGTTTCCCTTTCCAGTTTTGGATTTTAGTCATCAAATTCTCTTTAATAAACCTGAACACGCTGTTTTTAGACCTTCCAACAACTAAAGGTAAGCCCAGATACTTCCCCTGTGTAACCTGTTGGATTCCTCCTAGCCTTTGTAGTACCTCCTCCTTCTCTCTACTGCCTGTACTTTTGCTGAAGAAGACCGCAGACTTGTTGATGTTGACTTGTTGCCCCGATGCTTTCCCATAACACTCCAATATTGCTTTTATACGTCCTGCTTCATCACCATTAGCTTTGCAAAAAATAAGTGAGTCGTCAGCAAAAAATAGATGGGAAACTTTGGGTCCTTGTCTTGCAATCTTGACTCCTGAGATTTGTTTATTACTGACAGCTTTATTAAGGAGGTTAGAAAGTCCTTCAGCACAAAACAAAAAAAGATACGGGGAAAGCGAATCTCCCTGCCTAATCCCTCTTGACAGGACGGTTTTTTGGCGTGTTTTACACTGTTATTTTGTCCTAATTCTGGCTATTCACGGTACTAAGAATTGGAATTTCACTCATATTCGGTATTTGTGTGAATTGTAGGTGGTAGGCATGAAAAATGATCTCGCGAAGTAAATTTCCAGAAGACTTCTCGTCTCAGGGCGTGGCCACGCCTTAGAAGGTGGACAAAACCGAAAGCCGGACCCTGGTCCACGTGAACCGCGAGGAGCACAGGATTAAAACTCCAAAGGCTTCAATTAAAAAGCAAAGAAAGGGCCAGACGTCTGTGGGCTTCTGCTTGACTTTCTTGGGCGGCGGCTATAAAGAATAAAAGGCAAGATTCAAAAAGGATGAAGACCCTAGCTTTAGTTTTCTTTTGGCTACTTTTTGTCAGACGGCTCCCTTCGCTTTTGTTTCTTCTTGGGCAGCAAATTAGATAGGGAGATTTACATCGAATCAAAACAGTAGCTTTAGTTTTTTTCTTTCCCCAGGCGCTAGACGTCCCTTTCTCTTTTGACTTTCAACTTTTCCGCTGGACAGTTCCTTGGTAGCTTTTTGCTTTGTAATTGCGATTCTGAAGCAAAGACGAAGGCAGGGCCTTCTCTGTTGTTATTGCAATTAATTCCTTTCCCCAATTCTTCGTCAAATAATTGAATGAATTCAATTAAATCACGCGGGATTGACACGATAAGGAGCGGCTAATTCTCTCCTCTGTCCAAAGGTCGACGCGAGGGCGCGGTCCATAATATCTGTGAGATCTAATCGAATCTTCATTATTTCTTCCATTTTATTGCTATTCGTGCGTTTCCTGAATTAATTGTTCATGGGTATTTTATTAATTGAATATCAACGGCCGGATATTTGATTTAATTTAATAGCCTACTGCCACGTTAATTAAATAGAATCCGTAATTGTTCATTTAGTTAACACCCCGTGGCAACTACCATAATTGGCTTTATGATGGGGAAACGTAAGATCTAATTTAAATAAACCCTCTTAGCGTGTTTATTGGTTAGGGTTGGGTTCTTCTAGCTTTAATGCAATTGGGTAATTAAATTCCTACGATCGTACCTAGGGTTGTTATCTGGTTAGAGAAGCAGTCAATGGTCGTACCTTGACTGTCGAAAAGGTAAGGAAGAATTGGTTGTCAGAGCTTATTGATAACTATAACCAACCTAGTGATGAATAGATGAAATATCTTTGCATCGATGATCATTTAGTTGGACCGTGCCTGAGCAGTTGATCCTTTGGGTAGACTTTTATTAATTGCTATTTTTAGTGAATTGTGCGTTGTGAGTTGGTTTTGAACTTAGTTCGCTTTATTTTTATTTTACTTTTATTTTATTTATTTCTCTCCCATTGAAAATCCCCCAATTTTGTTCTACTGATTTGGAAAGAAATAATTTCCTACCTGCTCCCTGTGGAATCGACCCTACTTGCTATTGTACGCAAAAATTAGTATTTTTATAGACAAACCCGGTATATCGGATCAAGCAAACTCTTCGGGAACAGGGTGAATCAAGTAACCCATTGCACACCTAGGGTCCCTGCTCCAGTACTTGAATTTGTTCTATAATTATTTAATTGAGGTGGTAATTAGGACTTTTTAGTAATTATTATTGCACAGGTTCGGCACCTGTCACCTCTCGTAGGACTAACATACCCTCGCTTAACACCATTAACATTGAAGGAGTAAGACACTGAGGACAGACACCCATGCATCCATCTAATCCACAGAGGGGCAAACCCCATTTTACACAGTACGGCATCAAGGAAATTCCATTCGACTCTATCATAGGCTTTGGAAAGATCAAGCTTAATGGCCATGTACCCCTCCTTCCCCTCTCTTTTTGATTTCAGCCAATGCATGTATTCGTGAGCTACAATGACATTGTCCAGAATTTGCCTATTTGGGACAAAAGTAACCTGGGAGTAACTGATGCAAGAGTTAAGACAAGGTTTGAGTCTGTTTACCAAAACCTTAGAGATGACGTGGGCCATGATCTTTAAGTGTTTGTTATTTTGGTACGTTAGTGAGAATAACATTGGCTATACTCCGCTAGTGTCGTCACCCAATAACCGGGAGTCTTCACCACAAGTGTCGACTCTCGCGTCAAAAAGTGACGATATCTATGAGTAAGTAGTCCTGAAGCTGTGAAAAGTTGAGTAACTGGCCTCTTTCATCTAAAAATGTCAGAGTTCACGTCAAAAGGATTGAATAGCTCGGGACTAAGCATTATTTATTCAATCCAAAAAAAAAGAGAAAAAGAAAAAAAAAGAGAGAGAAAACAAAAAAAAGGGAAATATGTGAGTTTATGATCATGTTGGCCCGCTGATCCTTGGTTCGCAATATTGGGACTTTGGTTGCCAGTTGACTTAATTGCTAACTATGCTAGTTAATATTTGGATTTCCTAGGCGAGTTAGCCATGAATTGGACGGGTTTATGAACTTAGGAGCTAACCGGGAGAAATATGACTCGACACTTAGCCACTAAATCTTGATTTTGGTATAAGCACAGCTGGTAATGTTAATGTGAAAGCTAGCCATTGTTGAGTTGAGTTGTCTCCATGCTTGAGGGCAAGCATGATTCAGGTGTGGGGGGAATTGATAGGGTATAATTTGTTAGTAATTTTATTATTAATTTCCCCTTTTATCCCTGCCAAATATTGTGTTAATTATTGATATCTACTTATATTTGGTATCTGGACTTAATTTCAGGAATGAAACAGAAAACTATCAAAAAGGAGGGACTTTATGGAGAAAATGGAGACTTATAAGGGATTCAACCCTTGGGCCCTTGAATTGGTAGGGACCAGATGATACGAACTCGACCCAACAAGAACTTGTCTTGAAGAACCAAGTCGATCAGGCAGCGGAAGGATCTATCTTGATCAGGCTATGGAACAATAACTACCTTACTAGACCTAAAGAGAACCCGTCTCTAGAAACCTAGTGGATTGGCTATTGGCTTGAAAGAACAAGATGATGTAATCATCTTGCCATGAACACCACAAGTATCCAAGCTAAATACTTGATACAGTTCAAGAAGAAACTTAAGTTCCATCAAGGAACTCCATAAAAGGAGACAACTCTCTTTTTATTAATTCATCTTCAATATCATCTCCCTCAATAGTTAAATAAAGTTGGCTATTTATAGCCTTACAAGATTCAAAACCCTAATCTAAATTGGAAACAATACAAGGTTCCTTATTTGACTTGACACAACTTCCTAAATAAATTTGAAAGTAATTAACTACTTTTCTAAAACTCTAATTCAATTAGAATAGGAAACTAACTGACTCAATTGGCTTAACTATGGTCAACATGACCTTAGCCTTTATTTCCCTTAATAACTCAAGACTAACTAACAAGTATTGTTGGAAACTTACTTAAATAAATAACAAGAAATAAGCATGACAAATCTTCAATGATTCTCGAACCCGATTGTACCATCAACCATCAATTGAATTTTCTTGAATTTGAAGGGAATCCAAATCTTCATGTTCTCATCATTCCCCTCCTCTTGAAAGACGATTTGTCCTCAAATCGAGTGCTTGTTTACAAAAGAGTAACTCGGAGAATGTCTTGATAAATGCAACCCAAGAACCATGTCATCAACTCAACTTGATTATGAACGCGAACCATTGCACATGCTCCATTTGTCAAGAATATCTTCACCCAATTGTACTTGGCTAGAATTTGGAAGTCAACCAATATTTGGAAATCAATCAAGATTTGGCAATCAATCAGGATATCAATCAAGATTTGGAAATCAATCAAGATTTCAATCAAGATTTGGAAACCATTCAAGACTTGAATATCACTCACGATTAGGAAACCAATCAAGACACAACTCACTTTGGAAACAAACACAAGGAAAAAAAGTTCTTTTTTTCGGATGAACAGTTCTGCTACAATACTATGAACAGTACTGCTACAGTAGCGGGATGAACAGTACTGCTACAGGCATGAACAATGCCGATGAACAGTTCTCCGTGAACAGTCCGATTTTTTTTTTGACGACTTGACACAAGGTTACGACTTCACTTGGAAGAAATTTAATGGGAGTTAAACCCTTGAAAAACCTGTTTTCAAGAACGTAATCACACCAAAAAAATTTCAACCTCGATCAATCACAGGATAGGTTAGATTCAAGTGATAAAATCAAGAGAACAAGAATCAAAATTTATTTTTTTGTTTCTTTTAAATCAAAAGGCGGCTAGGATTTTGGTAGAAAAATAAATAGAAGAAAAAAGAAAAGAAAAGAAAAGGATATTAACCTGAATTAAGAGCCGAAACTCTGATACCAGATGATACGAACTCGACCCAACAAGAACTTGTCTTGAAGAACCAAGTCGATCAGGCAGCGGAAGGATCTATCTTGATCAGGCTATGGAACAATAACTACCTTACTAGACCTAAAGAGAACCCGTCTCTAGAAACCTAGTGGATTGGCTATTGGATTGAAAGAACAAGATGATGTAATCATCTTGCCTTGAACACCACAAGTATCCAAGCTAAATATTTGATACAGTTCAAGAAGAAACTCAAGTTCCATCAAGGAACTCCATAAAAGGAGACAACTCTCTTTTTATTAATTCATCTTCAATATCATCTCCCTCAATAGTTAAATAAAGTTGGCTATTTATAGCCTTACAAGACTCAAAACCCTAATCTAAATTGGAAATAATACAAGGTTCCTTATTTGACTTGACACAACTTCCTAAATAAATTTGAAAGTAATTAACTACTTTTCTAAAACTCTAATTCAATTAGAATAGGAAACTAACTGACTCAATTGGCTTAACTATGGTCAACATGACCTTAGTCTTTATTTCCCTTAATAACTCAAGACTAACTAACAAGTATTGCTGGAAACTTACTTAAATAAATAACAAGAAATAAGCATAACAAATCTTCAATGATTCTTGAACTCGATTGTACCATCAACCATCAATTGAATTTTCTTGAATTTGAAGGGAATCCAAATCTTCATGTTCTCATCATACGGACCACAAGTTAGTGAAAGGCATTTGGTCAATTGGGCTCTCCAAAGAAAGTAACGTAGAGAGACTTGGAACAAGAAGCAATTTGGAGCCTTTGTCCACATGTGTGGGGACCACCTAGATAGCTTTTAGTCATCTTTCTTTTGGTTCTTTAAAAGGGGACAACGTACAGAAGAAAAGAACAGCTTTAGTTTTAGCTTTTTAGTTTAGTTCTAGTTTTCTTTCTTTTGACTGGCCTCTGACACACGCCAGGTGTTCGACAATATTCTCCAACGGGGAAAACATCTTTTATTCTCTGCTTTCTAGTAAGAAACGCAATGCCTTTGCAATTTATTAATTCGTGTGGTGATTTAATTATGTGGCGCGACTAAGCCTCCCATCTAGTCAAAGGTCAACTCGACGGCACAGTCCCGAAAATTTGTGAGATCTAATTAGTTTTCACGCATTCCTCTATTTATTAATATTTGCACCTTATCTGCTTGAATTTTCATGAGATTATTTTATTATTTGAATGTCAAGGGCCCGATGTTCAATGTGATTTATTAATCTCGTGCCAATTTAGTCAACTAAATTCGTAATTGTTTGATTGATTAATATTAGTGGCAACTGGTGTGTTTACACATTACGGGAACGTGCAATCTAATTTAAATAACTCTCGTAGCGTGTTATTGATTAGGGTTAGATTTTTCTAGTGATTAATGCAATTGAAAAATTAATTCCTACGGTCGTACCTAGAAGTATTTTCTGGTTAGAGGTAATCAATGGTCGTATCTTGGTTATCAATAAATTAAGGAAAAATTGGTCGTTAGAATTCGTCGGCGACTATAACTAGTCTATTAATAAATTAAGTGAACCTTTCTTGCATCAATGATCGGATAAATGGACTGTGTCTGAGTAGTTGTATCATTGGCTAGAATTTATTTATTCTTGATTTAATTCCTGCTATATTTGTGTTAGTTAATTATTTATTTTTAGTTGGATTGTTTAATTATTTTTAGTTGCATATCGGTGAAACCCCCCTCTTACCAATTGAAATTTAAAAGAGACAAATATCTCCAGTCTCTGAGGAGACGACCCTATTTGCCACTGTCTACTATTCAGTAATTTTTGTCAACTAATTAATTTTGGTATATCGGATTAAACAAACTCTTCGGGAACAGGGTGAATCAAGTAACCCATTGCACATCTAGAGTCCCTGCTCCAGTACTTGGGATTAATTATTGACTGCTTTTAGTGGTAGTTAGGTTATTATTATTATTATTGCACAGGTTCGGCACCTGTCAATAGACTAATAGGCCTAAAGTGAACCAGGTTGAGGGGGTTGTCTATTTTAGGAATAAGGGTGACCAAGGTCTCATTGATGGCTTTCGGAAGGAAACCAGTGTGAAAAAAACTTCGAATAGCATCCACTACATCTACTTTGATAATATCCCAAAATCTTTGAAAGAAAACAGGGGACATACCGTCTGGGTCAGGGGATTTGTTGGGGTGCATGGAAAACACAGCAATCCTGATTTCCTTCTCAGTGACAGGTCTGGTAAGTTGCAGGTTCATCTGCTCCATGATAGTCTTAGGAATACCATTTAATATCTCATCAAAATCTGATGGCTTCGAGGATGTGAACAGCTGGCTGTAAAAATGAGCAATTTCCTCCCCAATTTCCTCCTCAGTTGCACACCATCCTCCCTGCTCCTTCTCCAGTCTGGAAATTTTGTTCCTTTTCCTTCTGCCCTTCACCACAGCATGAAAATAAGCTGTGTTCTTGTCCCCATTTTGAAGCCATTTGATTCTTGCCCTCTGGTTCCAATAAAGTTCATCTTGCCTATAGGAATCAGAGAGTTGTTTCCTAAGCATCCTTATGGTTTCTTTATTATCACTTCCATTTCTGGTTCTCGCAGCTTGAATTTCTTCTTTGATCCTTTTAATTTCCATCCTGCTATTTAGCTTCAATGTTCTGCTCCAAGCCGAGAGAGACATTCTACACTGCTTGATCTTCCTACTGATTCTCACAGCTCTGGACCCCACTTGATTTTTACCCCACGCCTCTTGGATTAGGCCTTCTACTTCCCTATATTGTAGCCATCTGGGATCAAAATGAAATCTTCTTTTTGGCTTCCTAATTCTAGGCTCTGTCTCTAAAAGGATGATATTGTGATCAGAGGCTTCAACCTCAATATGGGTCACTCTTGCATCTTTGAATACCTCACACCAGTCAACACTTGCAAGAACTCTGTCCAATCTCTGTTTAATTTCATCCTCCCCCACCCAAAGGTTACTCCAAGTCCATGGGAGGCCCTCAAAACCAACATCCAGGAGCTCATTTTTGTTAATGAAGTCTTTAAAATCAGAGAAAGTCCAATTTGGTCGTGTTCTGCCCCCCCATTTTTCATCATTGGAAATTATGTCATTAAAATCACCCATTAAGATTTTGTTTTTACCCCAGATATTGTTCCTACTACACAAACAATCCCATTGCTTTTTCCGAATTTTATCATCAGTACTAGCATAAACAAAAATGCACCACCAGTTACCAGATTCATTGTCATCATTCAACAGAAGTTCAATGGTAAAAGGGGTAAATAAAACATTCAAAACCTTAGTGGTATTTTTTCAAAAAATAGCAAGCCCACCAGCTTTACCAACAGGTTCTACTAAAACCATTTCCTCATACCCTATTTTCCTTTTAAACCCGTTCAAAAACTTTTTTTGATTTTTTGTTTCACATAAAAAAATAATGTCAGGGGAGTGAAGGTGGATTACCTCCTTAAGACAGGGAATAGTCAAGGAGCTCCCTGCCCCTCGACAATTCCACGCCGCAACTATCATGTGGACTTGGGAGATCAATTAAGGCTTGCCTCCATGACCTCAGAATTTGGTTCCCATTTGCAATCTTGCTTCTATTTAACTCTTTTAGCTAAGCCCCCATCAATTTGCATACGGTTTGCTTCTTCCTCCTCCTCTGGTAATCTCCTCTTTGCAGCTACTGTTGTAGTTTCAATGTTCATGTCCATATCTGATAGTGGGAGCCTACCCAGCTGACCTTGTAGCCCTTTACCATCTTTCCTGGCTACCTTAAATTGCTTCCTACCTTTATTTCCCATCTCTCTACCTGCTGGTATTAGACTGCATACCCCTTGGTTTGCAACTGAATGATCTCCAGGAGAATGTCCGAGAGAGGTATTATTTCCTCCTTCCTCGTTAGTTTCAACTAAAATGTCCATCTGATCCTCCAAGCCCTGTTTGAAATCCTGCTTATATTGGGGACATTTTGGAGTCAAGCTACAAATTGGGCCTGGGCTTAAATTACTTTTGACTTCCCCTTGAACCCACTTGCCGCCTTCTTGTTCTGTTGTGTTTTCAGAGGTGGGCTCACTTACTTTCTTTTCCGCCGCGCCCAATTTTGAATTTTGATCATGGATTTTTTGCGCCCGCTCTTTGCCTGACAAGACTGTGTCATCTTCCCTCTCTTTCCTGACAATCTTCAGTTCGTCAATGTTAGTTCTACTGGATCCCAGCCCCCTTGACTGGTGAACTATGTATTCTCCTTCGAACAGTAATTTCTGTGCAACCGCATTCATCGATTCTTTTGGATCTCTAGGGGTATCAGACCGATACTCTGTTCTCTTTTTTGGGGATGCTCCCTTGGCTTGAGCTCTCATCCAAGGTCCAAATTGAGGTTTGGAATTGCCCCTGGTTGTCCCTGATTTGTGCCTGCAAGATTTGTCACTGTGCCCAATTAATCCGCATCCATAGCAGAAATCCGGGCACTTTTCATACCTGAACTCTACCCAGATGCTCTGACCACCTAATTTCACCACCGTTCCTCTCAACAGTGGAAGGGATGTATTAATCACCACTTTCAGCTTTATATGTCTCCCTTTTTTACTTCCACCCATTGGGATAATAATATCCTCAACATCTTCAAATATACCACCAATCTTAACCCCTATCTCCTTTGTGATCCAATGTATTGGCAGGTTCCATAGTTGAACCCAGATGTGGGCTTTTTGGAATGCCTCCATCTGGCGATCAATGCCTTCCTCCCACGGCTTGATGTTGAGGAGCTGGTTGTCAATTGTGTATGGTCTTCCACTCAGTATCTTTTCCATATCCATCACATCGGAGAAATTAAACTGAAACAGATTTGCTCCCAGCTCCACAGCCACCAAATTCCTTGGGTAACCCCACACTTGATTGACAAAGTTCTTCACTCCTGTGAAGTTGGTGATCCTTTCCCCCATTATTCTTCCAAAGAGACTTTTCCTGCATTCTTTCTTACCTATATGCACATCGACCCCGTCCAAGATAATTCCTGAGCTTTCTCTGTTGGATAAATCAAATCTGTCAAACACTTCCACAAGTTCTTCCGCCATGATTTTGTTGTGATATTCAATGGTATTCCAGGCACCTCACTCGATGAATTGCAACATTACCGACCTGCGCAGGGAAAATAAAATCAAGATGCTGGGTCAGGCATATACCCCCTAACCCCAGAGCCAAGAAAGTAAGAAATTAAAAAAGTTTAAAAGCAGAGAGTTTAAGACATTTTCAGAAATAGAAGATTTGTTTTGTTTTGTTTTTTGTTTTTTGTTTTTTTTTCCAAAGATCAGCTTCAATAAAAGGAGAAAGAGAAGATTTGTTTGAAACTGGAAGAACTACTGAAAAGCTACAGAGGAGGAACCGATGAGAGTTGGGTTTAAGTGTTCTAAAGAGTATTTCTACTCCCACTGAAGAGGAGGCAAAGCTCTCATCGTAGAGAGGGAAGCTCTCAAAAAGAGAGGGGGTTTTTTCTAAAATGATGATTGGTGCAATTTGCAATGTTCATTTCTATCGATGCAATGTAAATTATTGGAGATGCGCTCTGAATTTTAGGACAAATTTTTCCCCTTTTCGAGCTTTTTCCTCTCAAAATCTTCTCTACATAACTTCCTTGCCAGCTTGGCTTCATCTTTTCATTATTTTCTCCCGTTTCAGTGAACCCATAGCCCTCTAGGGATCCTTTACTTGCTAGTTGTGATCATAGTTCCTCTATACATTGGCTTGGTGGTATGCTTTGTTTTTACCATTTTTCCTATTTCTCTATGTATTTGCTATTTATTTCTTAATGTATACTGAGAAGGATATTTTTGCCCCTTTGGTTTTCCTTCCAATCCTAATGTAACTATGAAATAATGGTCGGAGATGTGTCTTTTTTACATACGAACTTGTGAATGTAGATGAGTTGATCCTCTTTTTTTTTTTTTACAAAGCCCTGTACACGGGGTGGGGGTTTATTTAATAAACGAAAAATGAATACAAATGCCAAAACTACAAACTAATGCACAGGCGAACATGGGGGACCTCCTCCTATTTAGAAGTAGAGATGATCTAACAATTGCAGAAAGATGCTAAAAGGAGGGAAAGAAAGTGTCTTGTAGGAGCCGCAGTCCCGCCAGCTTGTATGTCGTACTATTAGTATCCCTATAAACATGCACTAATGACAAGGAGGAGTCAGAGAGCAATCCACTAATTCTCATGAGAATATTGCAGAACGGCTATTTACCTACCACCCCTAAGTGGATCAAGCGAACAAGGGATTTCGAATCCACCTCCACCAATAAGTGTTGAACTGTCTTTCAAAGCATAACAAAAGTCCATGCAACAACGACAGACTTTCAGCCATTAATACATTTGATTCTCCAAATTCCTTATAAAAGACAAAAATCAGGTTCCCATCTGAATCCCGAAGGAGACCACCTCTAGACGCCCGCCCCCAGAGAACACTAGCATCCATCTTGAGCTTATAATAACATGAGGGAGATTTCTGCCAGGAAACAACCTCACACTCAACACGCCTTACTCTTTGACCAATCCAAGTAGCCCACGGATCCCCGATATCTCTTCTAAAATGCTAGGTTTTGAGAACCTTAGCAGCCCCTAATTGATCCAAGAATCCATTAATCTCGGCAATTACCTGTTAAGGTTCAAACGCTTCATTCTCAAATCGGGCTTGATTTCTTGACTTCCATAAGAACCATAGGATCAAAACTAGCACAGCTATGCGTATATGCCCTACCTGGGCTGGAAAGGGTGAATTAAACCATGACACCCATACCGATGACAGGGAATTGCGCACCACATCCAAGATGCCAAAACGTCTCCCAAAATGCTCCCAGACTCGTGCTACAACTGGCCCCTGAAGAAACAAGTGATCAAGTTATTCCTCCTCCTGATGACAACAATGACATCAAGACAAGCACTACACCTCTAGTCCTTAGAGTAACATCCAAAGGTAGCCAGTTGTGTAAGACACACCAAGCGAAGAAAGAGATTTTGAGTGGAAGAATATCACTGCAAATCAAGTTTGAAGTTCGGAGTTTGGAGAAAGTCAGGAGAATCGAAAATAGAGATGCAAACTTGATAAGAAGTAAAAAAATGAGATGAAAGTGAGTGATTGTGGTATTTAATAATTAGTTTTTATGGTTAAAGAAAAACAATTATTTTAAAAAAATTCAATTTAATAGACAAAAATAAAATTAAAAGATGGAAGAAAAATATCAATAAATTAAAACTAAAGATGTTTGATTAAAAAAGGATGACGAAAGAAAAGAGGAGAGAGAGAAAGAGTTGAAAATTATAAAGAAAAAGTTATGAGAGCATGAGGTTTTGTAGGAAAAACAGAGGAAAGAAAGATGGAGATTTATTTTTATATAAATGTGGTATAAAAAGAGACTAAGTGGATATGATGGTACAATGGTTACTATGTTGGTCTTGTGTAGCAAATGTTTTGAATTCAGTTCTTACTAGCGACATTTTGCAAAACTTAAAAAAAAATAAAATTGAAGGAAAACAAAAAAACCCAAAATTAGCGGTTTGACCCGATTTACCGGGTTGGACGGTTTTGACCGGTCTTGATTGATTCATGGACAACTTCAACTATAGCATAGAATCAGACCGGTCTCATGGCCGGTTCGATCCGATTCTGAAAACTTTGCTGTAGCAGAATTTTTAGAGTATATTTTAAAATATTTTTAGAAAATATTTTGGAATATTTTTTATTGAAACTTTATTTTGAGATATTTGGTAAAATTTTAAAAAAAGTTAAACTAATTTTTAGATTATCTTTTAGAGTACTTTGTTGTAACTTTTATTATATTTGAAAAACTACTTTTTGAAAAACACTCCAAAAACAGGAGATCCAAACAGAGCCATTGGTTTTAATTGAATTTGAACTTCTTCTCTTTTTTTTTTTTTTGTCTTTTGCACATCTGACATGTATCAAAGGATGCTAGTGTTAGATAGTCATTATATACAAAATCAACATCCATATTTAGTCACTTAACAATTTATATCTCATAGTACTAATTTGAGAGCAATTTATATCTTATAGTGCTAATTTGAGAGTTAACCCTGGAACAAGAAAATAGAACTAAAAATCCTGA